ATATCTAGATGTTCGCGCACGGAGGTTCGCGCACGAGCATCATGTGACATAGATACGTGGTCCTGCTCGTGCGCGATCGCTCGTATCCAGGCCGCGACGCTGCTGCTGCGTACGGACAATAATAGTATTTACTTATAATAACGTACTTCACGGGCGAGTTGCTCACACACCTGAGTCGCTTACTTTTGCTAAGAACTTACTCTAACAAACTCTATTATGGCCCATAACAACCTGCTCTGGCACTATATAGTACAGTACAGCCTAGAATATTATTTAGATACTACTTCTACTTCTTGCTTACATATTTATGTGTTATGCTTAGTCTAATTGCACTGTTTGCAGCGCCTTTAGGATACCTTACCTACTTTAGCTTGCACCTGCTTCTTTGCCTTCTTCCTGTTACTACGCGCTTTAAACTTCTTTAGAGCTATTAAGTGTAAGCCTTCTTAAATTATTAAAGTCTTTTTTACCTTAATTTACTTTTTTTATATAATTTATATTACATAGTAGCCTTATTAGCTGCTTAAAGCTTAGTAATTTTTTATTACACTAACACTAGCTTATATGCCTTTTTTAAGAAAGTAAAACAACCTACATTAAGTAGCTATAAAAAGTGTAATAAGTAAAAAAGTATATAAATAGTAATAATTTTATTATTTTTATAGTATTACTAGAAATAAAGTAAGTTATAGCTTTTATAGCTATTAATAACTAGCAGACAGTAGCTGCTAATAGTACACTTTTTTATATGCACATTAAAGTGCTTTAACTAGTCTAGACTAAGCTAATTAGTAGTCTAGCTACACTTAGAGATTATAATAACTTAATTTTAAAGTAGATTTTTTTATACTAGTTTAAAAAGTAGTTGCTACTTTAGAAAATAATAAAAAGTAAAATAGCCTACTTTTTAGCATTAATGCTCTAGATAGCTGTTATCTACTTCTAGTTACTTAGCTAGACTGCTTTTAGCTGTTCTTATTTTTCTAAACTTATAACAACTGCTCTAGTAGATATTTAGCTTATTATAAACTCTATGTTATTAAAGTTATATATATTATTATTTTAAATGCTATACTTAGCTTTAATATTTTTTATAAAGTTAAACTAGCCTTAAATTACTATAAGATTTTTATAAAAAGCTTTTTTATAGTTATAGTTATACTTAAACTTTACTTTAAGCTTTAAGTAACACTTAATAAATATATTAAGCTAGTTTATGCTAATATAGCCTATATTATGCTTAGCGTGTAAAGAATTAGCTATATTAGCTATAGCTACTAGCTAGGGGGAAATCCTTACGCATTTAGCTTAAGTATATGCTAAATAATTACCTACTTTTTATTATTATCTAGCTTTTATAAGTTAGCTATATAATTAGCTTAGAAAGGTTATCTAGCGTGTTAGTTACTTATTATCTTTTAAAAGACCTTATAAATAGCTGCAGTGTGTTGCTTAGAAAGTGTTATATTTTATTTAAAAGTTTAAAGCATAAGCTACATCTAACATTTCTTTAACATGTTTAAGTAGTGTTGTTAAAAATGCATTAGTGTAAGAAAAGTAGTATAGTAGGGTCTTAGCAAAAGTAAGCAACTTAGGTGTGTAAGTAACTTGTCTATAAAGTACATTATAACTATTATATTAGCCTACACTAACTAAGTAAAGTTAAGTAGATTAATAAAAGCTAAAATATTAAGCATAGTGTTTTTAAAAGCTTATTATTTAAGTTTAAAAAAATAAGAAGCTATCTAGAGTTAGCCTAAATAAACTATGCATAAATATGCTAAAAAAAAAGCTAAAATACACACTTTAAAGCACTTTTTACTAAATTTAAAGTAATAAGTATACTTAGTATACTTAATTTTTTTTTATGCTATAACATAACTTATTATTTATAAGCATATAATAGCTACTACTTTTATTTATAATGCCTTTATAAAACATTTTATTAATGCATTAGATATAAAAGTTATTAAAGCATAAGTTTATATTAGTAAAAGCTAATTAATTTTTTTTAAAAAAAATTATAGCTAGATTATAATAAAGTAAGCTATAAAAGTTTATTTTAAAGTTATTTAGTAAAGTTAAAAATAAAAAAAAGCTAAAAGTAAATTAAGTAATAAGTAAGTATAAGTAAAGTAAAATAAAACTATTAAAGCCTATTAGCACTCTTTTGCACTAAATTACACTAGAGTAGCTTAAAGTATACTTACTTTAAAAAGCTTAAAATCTTCTAAATCTTAACTTATAAAAAAAGTAAAAATATAAAAAAGATAAACTTTTTAGAATAATTAGACTCTATATATACTATCCTAACTGCTACTTTACTAGTATAAGATATACTACTATTTTACTTTTACTTTTACTTTATACTTTTACTTTACTTTTACTTAAAAACTTTAGGTTATTTTTAAATAAACTTATATAAAATTAACTAAAATTAACTAAAATAAGTAAAAGTAAACTTTTAAAGTATTATATAATACTTTATTATGCTACTTAGGCTTATTATTATCTATTCTATCCTCTAAGTTGTAGAACTACTATAAGAGAGGATAATGTAAGGCTAGATGTCCTAGAACAGGCTAGTATAGCCTTACCTAACCTGTGCTTTGTATATAAGCATAAATCCTAACTAGTAAGGCTTAGCAGTAATTTGTCTCTCTTACAATACACTCCTATCTTTCTCTAAAGGCTTGCTCTCAGTGCTATCCGTGCTACCTACCATCCCATCTTTACATATAGTATATAATCTAAAAGAAGAACTTATAAGAAAGACTTAGTTATCTTATCTAAATTATTTTTAATTATTAAATTACCTTTAACTACTAATAAAAACCATTAGTTTATAAAAAGGGAAGTAGTGTAATAATTCTTAAGAATTATTTTTTCTTAGGTGGCCTAGAACTTATCTAAAGGGTCTCTATATTAGCTCTAACCCCAACTTAACCTAGCTCTAACCCTGCCTTACCCTCTGCTGTTACCTCTATTTCCCCTAAGTATTTAGTTGCAACTCTTCCCTATAGCTAGCTTAATAGTTTCCTAATATCCTTTTGTACAAGGCCTACAGGTGTTAATGGTATTCCCAGGTCATTAAGTCCCCACGCACTCCTATATGCCTCTGAGTGGATTCCTACCGCATTCAGATCCATTTTCTTGCCTGCGCCGTTACAGCTGTAACATAACCGTGACACTAGTCTAATTTAGCGCTATCTTATGCTAAAGTTTATGCGAATTTTAATGTTAGCTGACGTCTAAATATAGTAATTTTTTAAGCTAAGGCGTTTCTCTTCCTAGAACAACAACAGAGAAGCTAGAATAGTAAATTAACTATAGATTTTACTCGCTAACGCTTACAAAATCATCTACTTTGCTTAGCAAAACTTCTCTATTTATATAAGCTTTAGTATTTTATCTACATTCACAGAAAAGCTAAGCCTACAACTAGCTAAAACAACATCTGCTCAAAAGATTATGCTAATGCACTCTAGTATCTCTCTCTAACCTCTCATCCCCTCTTCAGGTCTCCAAACCCGCATTTGTACTACAATTCCTCCTTTTTCAAACCATCTCACGTGAACCATCCCTCGCACTCCTAAATGCGGCATTTGGCAACCTCTCCTCCCCGTTTCTAATATTGTAGTATCAGAAACACTCAAATTTGAATCTGTCGGGGTTGGCGGGTGGTGTGAATGTGAATGGGAGGATGAAGAGTATTTGGGAGAATACAAGACAGTTGAGTGCCTGTTGGAATGTTGGAAATGGATATAGTAGGGGTAATGAGGAGTATCTTGAGCTTGACTTTAGCTAGAAAGCTGGACCAAGAGTTAGAGGTACAAGTGCAGGTGGGAGGGGCGAAGAGGGAGTAGGAAGAGAGCATGTTGATGCTAAATTTAGATATTCGTCCTAAGACTCTAAAAAGCCTAAGTGTTTAGCTTTAGTGAGTGGGAAGAGTTGACGGGACTTGAGTTGCAGGATGTTGTTAGTAGTGAAGGAAAGGATATTTTTGTAACACCTACTAATGTGGCGAGCAGTATACAAGGATTTGAGACTGAGTTTGCAAGAAGTCTCTGAATATCCACATGGGGGGAAGTCTCATTATAAAGAAACGGAATGGATTGTAAGAGGCTTGGATCTAGACTTCTATTCTAAAAATTACGACAGAGGGAGTTCTATCTAAGGTTGAAAAGATACTCGGTTTTGTAACAGAAAGTAACAGTTTGGTGTGGCATCTTGCTAGCCAAAACTAGCGACGTGTGGGATATGAAACTAAATTTCAGAAGTTGGATAAAATCTAAATAGAAAGGATATTCCTAGTGCGTCATGATCGCTGTTGTTGGAGACTAAGTAATTTGTCTCCGCCATCCTGGTATCCCCCATAATCTCCATTATATCGTTTCCAACTCCTCGCTATGTATGCATGTAACCCCCACCCATTTCCGGCAAACTAAAGGCCAGGCTTAACAATGAAGTCCAGCGCAGTCCAAGCACCAAACCCGCTTAAAAGCAAACGATAATCCATCTCAAACGACTAAAAGAAAACTTTTAAGCGACGCATCGGATTCGCCTCAATAAATCAATCCCACCCTCACATCCTCAGGACTATTAGCATAGACAAGGGCTTCGATGTCCCTCTCTCTCTTCGTAATCCCTAGACCCACTCTCTCCCCTTCTTCACTCCTACACCAAATCCCCTCAATCTTCACACCATCTCTCTTTGCCATCGGCAAGCTCACATTCAATGTCTTATTCCCACACTCCATATTTGTGATACTATTACTCCCCCGCAAGCTATCAGAATTACTTCGACTGCCTAGTTGGGTATGCTTTGCATGCGGGGTATTCTCCCTCGATCCGCCGAAACGATGACGACGAGCAAAGGTGCGAAGGGAGGGGAGACAGACAGCTAAGATGGAGGATACTATTTCGGCAAGGGCCCAGACATCAATGGTATGCGTGATTTCGGCCCTGGGGACATTCTGCACTAGCTTGAGCGTTATAAAACGCACGAGTGCCGCTAGGATCGACACGCTTCCCATGAGGAACACAAACGCGAGCCCGGCTTTCTCGGACTTACCGAGCTGCGTGGCAAGGAGGGTGGATATGGGTATGGATAGGATGATGAGGTCTGTTGCGATGTTTGTGAAGGTTGAGATGGTGACGGAGGACATGGAGTGGACAGCCGAACACAGGTGTTCGCCGGGTGGAGGAGACCAGTTGGATGAGATGGGGCTACACCAGAAGGCGATGAGGAACATGTGGAGTAGGAATGTAGACGCTGTGAAAGCGCAGGCTACCGCGAGTGTAATTCGTGCGCGTTTACCCTGTAGGGAGAAGAGCGAGTAGTAGAGGGCTAGGAAGGCGCCTTTGGCAGACCAGAGGCTAATGTAGATAAAGAAAAGACTAATCCAGGATACGTAAAGTAAGTGTCCTGAGAGAGGTTGTGGGACGCCGTAGTAGAGCATTCCTGGAGGGGAGTGCAGGTACTTCATTCGGAGGCTGTTCTTCCAGGTGTTTATCGCTATGAGAACGCAGCCGGATAGCCAGGCTAGAATGACGAAGCCGTCTGCAATGTTGGTGGCGAGGGAGTGGAGACCGCGGCTTCGTTGACGCAGGGAGATGCGGATTAGGATTGGGATGAGGGCGAGGGTCATGAGCGACCAGTCTAGCGCTATGAAGCCAGCTGGCGGTAGATGTTAGGAGTTGGCGAGGATGGTGTGGGAATTGGAGGGGCTTACGAAGTGGGAGGTGGATGTCTGTATACACCATAGTGTCTGATTATGATACAGTCTCCTTCGATGATGGTATGTACCAAAGACCCGGGTGACGACTTTCGACCGCGCAAGGGCGTTGAACTAAGGTATTGATGCTGATGATCCTGAAGTAGGCAACGATCAACCCTTACCCGACCAGCAGCGCTCTTCAAGATATAATGAAGCGGATCTCCACCACAAGAATTGGATATTGATCCTAAATTCGAGGAAGTAAGAATAGGCGGGAGGAGTGATGGCTGGTAGCCGTAGTGATGACTACACTTCTCTGCTCATTACAAATGAAAAACCCACCCAGATTTCCGGGCCATCGTCGTCTTAAATCATTCCCCACAGAGTGGTGTTGAACATACATATCAAGTTCCCCGTCGCCGAGCCCGCATCACGTCTTTCCCAACCCATGCATATGCACCACAGGGCTGAGAGTCTAAGCTATTCCAAGGACCCTTCTCTCCTGTCCTACCCAATGACAGCCTCCAAGCCAATTCACGCCTGCATGTCAGCATATTTAGGTTCAGCCTGCATCTCTCTTCTACTACCTGTATCCAGCTTAGCCGAAAACTCCGATTTCTAATTCCATTCGCCAACGCTCGCTTAACCTACGGATCTGGAGGTTGTGCAGATTTAGCTCGCACTAGGGCTATGTTTCCGCGTTATATAAGCCAAGTAAGCACAGAAATAGCAACAAAAAAGCTCAACTTTCCAGTGAAGCATCGCGAATCTCGACCTGGCCATTTATTGATCTTTCCACAACCTTTGGGGTCGCTAGCACGGCAGTTTCCGAGTGCGTGGAGCTGCCATCTGGCTGGTAAGTGAGTCGGAGGGAAATTAGAAACCGTTTTGAAGGGGTTGTCTTGTGTTTGGTGGTGTTGGCGCATTTGCTTAAAAATGCACCATTTTGGATCTGATGCGCGAGTCTAAAGGGGATGCTTTACCGCACAGATCGGCTGCTAAATTTGCTTCATTGATAGCACGGACGACAACGCAGTGAAGACACACCACCGATCCCTCGATGGACAGCCAACTCAGGTGAAAGATATTCGGATGAGTGTCCGCACAGGAAGTCAGCTCAACCTCGGCTGTTGGTCTCACTGCGAATATGCTGTAGCAAGAATGTGATGTGTGACGTGCCAGTATCACCACTCTGTCGCAACCAAATAGGAAATGATAACTTGGTCGGCCCGTCACATGGAAACTCGGGATGAGTGCATCGGGATGGTGGCCGACGATTGCCACTGGAAAGAACCAAACTGCAGCCTTGCAGATGTCATTTCTCTACATTGCATGGCCAACCAAGTGTGCTAATATGGAAGGCAGTCCTCTGACGCCCTTCGAAGCCTGTTGTGAAGAAAGCTTTTTTTTTATCTCTGTTTGGAGGGATACGACATTGCGAGAGAAGCGTTAGGGTTCGCTCCGTTGTTCCAAGCTTGAACAGATAACCAATTTAGCATAAGAGCAAGATTGTAGCGATTGCGAGGGAGTAGGACCCCATGCGATCTTCACCGCGAGTCTGTGCTAGGGTATCAAGAATTCCGTGAATAAGTCGGCAACTGCTTCCCCAAGCTAAGATCTGGGGTCTGCGGCTTGAGAATCCAAATCGCATTTTCCACTTTTGACCGCACCATTGCCTTTACGGAAGTTCATACATCTATATGTACAATGTTTAGTCATACATGGAGGCGCACCGCATTGACATGCCCGACCGGTCAGTTGGAGGCGCTGACCGTCCAAATCAAAATTGGCGGAGATTCGACCGTTCGAAAATGAATGGCTGAAATTAATTCGGCCGTATTAGGAAGAGCAAGAGCCCTGAAATGACCGCACCCGTAGCTGTGGCCTCTACAATTGCTATCGTGAATTCCTTCCTCCGGATTGAGATGTATTTCTCGCTCATGAGATCTCGGACGGACGTCGTGATCTTCTCCTGCCATGGCATTGGGGTTATGGTCGTTTGGTGTTCTGGTTCGAAAGTGGCTAAGCTGGCAGCCCCCAGTTTTTCTGGGGTAAGCGTCATCGAGTCTTCCTTGAGAGCAGCGATGATATTAGGTTCGGCCTGTTGCACTAGCATGTCTTCTTCGACTTTGGGAGCCGTGTGAGTGGTTTGTTCGGCGATGACAAGGCTCCCGATAACCTTTTCTGCAGGCTCAACGGCTTCATCAACTGCCGCTTCGAGTATGGGGCTTGACTGAGGTCCAGCAGCTGGCTCGAATACTGTTCTCTGAGCCTCCAAAGCTGCCTTAACTTCCCTAACCAGCCGGCGTCTCCTCCACGGCTCAATGACAACCAAGGATGCTAGCAGCAGGAAGATGTTGAAGCCCATCAACCCAAAAGTGACCCAGGTGCTGTTTCGCCTAATCGTGTCACTCCATATTTGCTCCTCATGATACTGCGCTCGTTCACGCTTCTCCAGTCGCGTCCGTGCCTCTTCCAGTGCAGCTTCAACTTCAAAAACCTTGTCTTTTGCTGCCTGAACAGCCTGGTCATTGACATGCTCTGACCGTATCAATTGCATGTATCTTTCCAGATCTGTGGCGGACCAAGAATGTTTCCGCTCCAGGAGCCCGACCACTTCCTTCTGCGAAGATGCCTGCTTTGCGTGAGCGTCATCCAGAGCCTGTTTCGCTTCGTTTAGTGCAAGATGGCGGGTCTTGACGAGTTGCTCTATACCCAGTCAATTTTTGAACATATCACCAATAGGTGCTTCTCGCCTTGTTCCTTGATTTCTCGCCTCAGTGCCTCGATGCCCGAGTAGTCGGTACCCGTGTAAGTGTTGACCTTCTGGGTGACAAGCGCAAGCTTTGGCAGCAGGTCGTCCATGAGTTCGGAGAAGCGTCTCGAGAGATTCCATCTTTGCCCCTCTCTGTGCGACGGCAGATGCTCTGCCGGCACTCTTGCTATTGTATCTTCATCTTTGGGGGGAGACGCTAACTTCGCGGATTGAGGGGTGCAGTGCTGTAGTGGGGTCTTCGTCTCAGCCGAGTCGGCTTCTAAAGGCCTGGTAGGTTTCTCGAAGACAGTCCTAGAGTGGGAGAATTGCCGTCGGGTCGGCTTATCGAGACCTTTTCTGGGTGGAATACATGGGAGATATATTGCTGGTCCTGTGAACTTTGCGCTGGCTAGGCTTCTAAACAACGTCTTACTCGCTCGTGGCGGAGCCGTGAAGATCGGACTGGCAAATATGGAGCGCGACGCATGCTGAAGCAGCGGCCTCATTCTTGTCGTGAGCGCAATAACTCACATCAGGCGTGCTGAAGACGTCGTACACGGATGCGAAAACCTTAATGACGGAACTTGACGTGAGCCGGATCTGTGCCAAGCCGACAATCCCTTTTTCCGTACTGCACCGGGATCCCATTTTAGGCGCAGTCGCTGGCTTCCGAAAATCCAGCATAAAACTTTCTTTCAACCTCATCCTTCGTTTCTCGAAATTTTCCTATTGTTGTTATTGGTACAAAATTTGGTGACGTATTGCCCTCGAGAACGTATTCAAGATGGGTGTCCAATCCGCGATCGAACTTCCGGCTATGAAAACTAGCCCACAAGTCCGTGGACATGCCATGAAGGGTTTGAGGAGAGTGCTAATCTGTCATAGTTCATTTTCTTTACTGATTTCGATGGCACGGTTACGCTGCAGGACAGTGAGTCTTGACATTCTCTGAACCAACCCATCCTGTACTGAGATTTGACAGGCAATGACTTCATGGTATTTTAGCCCTCATTCACAAGACAAGGGTATCATTAATTCTGGGGCAGACCGACAACATTGGCTACGGCCGTGAAAAGCGGCGCCAAGGTAATATCGACACTCTTGCAGACAAGATTACCTTTCGGGACTCATTCCGGGAAATGATGGACAGCGTGACCAAGCCGTACAACGAATGCATTCAGTTCCTTGTCGACAACATCAAATTGGACCCCTATTTCGCCGAGTTCTTCCAGTGGAGTTTAGCGAACAATATGCCTGTTGTTGTTCTCTCCTCGGGCATGGAACCCATCATCAAAGCCCTTTTGAAGAAGCTTATTGGCCCCGATGCGGAGAATATGCAGGTAATCGGGAATTATGTGAAAGCTAGGCCTGGGAAGAGCATTGATGAGGAAGGGGGTTGGCAGATCCAGTTTCACCACCCCGAGTCTGGGTTTGGGCATGATAAGAGCGTGACTTTGAGGAAATACTCCTCACTGCCAGAGGATATTCGACCAACTATGTTCTACGCTGGGGACGGAGTTTCAGATCTGTCTGCTGCTCGGGAGACGGATTTGCTCTTCGCAAAGAAGGGGCACGATCTCATCTCGTATTGCGCCAGGGAGAACGTGCCATTCACGGTGTTTGAGGATTGGTCTTCGATCCTAGAGAAGTGCAAGGAGATCGCTGCGGGCAAGACCACGGTTCAAGAGGCTGCTCATGAGGGCTACGAGGCGTACAAAGCTGGAGCTGCTGGTGTTGAGCCTGCCGCTAACAGCTGAGCAAAGTAAACTTTCAGATGGGCATTTGAGAGCAGACATTTTACACATTTCTTTCTACGAAACCGTATTTCAGACACATATAGACGATAGAAACCTAACCGGCATGGTAGCCTAGAAAACACCAAAGCACGCATTCTAGATCACTCGCTGACATTCACGAAATCTTAGACCAAAAGTCACATGACAGCATCTGAATGGCGGGGTTAACTTGGCAAGGGAGCCTTGCATATTGAGCGGTGCCAACTCATCATGTCTCAGCCAAAAAAAAACGGGAGCAACCACCATGAAACAACGTGAAGGTAGCACCGATCCCTTTACCACGCCGTCCGTTCTCTTCATTCGACAATCGCGGAGAGGGGGCGGCTGAATTTGACATATACGCGGCTCTTCTGATCTCTGAGAGAGTGAAACCTCCATCCCTGTGGACGCTGTAGTGCGGAACAGCCCCTCGCCATTTGTCCGCATCCGCAGCTGATATCAACTGTACTATACCTCCAGCCTCGCCTTACAATTCCCCCCAAGTCCATCCTCGCACTCCCGCCACAATTCTTCTCAAAACCCACCTCGCAAAAATGAACACAGACCCCCTAACCGGCGCGCCCCTCCCCTCAACCGCCATCCAACGCATCCTTTTCCTCTCACCCAAAGTGCACGTCTACCACATCCCCCCCCTAACTTCCACAAAGGGCTACAATGCCGCAACCTGGACCGCCGACAACAACAAGCGTCAAATCTTCACTGCGCGTCTACGCATCCTGGAAACCTCAATCCCTTCCCCCACAGCTTCCGAGACAGACACAGATAGCGAAAAAGTCACCACCACAATCCTTCTCGAGGACCCGGGCTCGGGCCAACTGTTCGCAGCCGCACCATACACATCCCCCGCCGTCGTCGAGCAGGCGCTGGACTCGAGCCGGTTCTTCGCTGTGACTGTGGTAGGTGAAGGACGGAAAGCGGTGCTGGGAATCGGCTTTGAGGAGCGCAGTGAGGCGTTTGATTTCTCAATAAGCCTGCAGGATGCGCAGCGCGTGCTTGGATTGTCGAATCCAGGGTTAACAACTGGCGGACACGCTGGATGGGGAGGCCGACTGACTCAGCAAAAAGAAGCTGAGGAACCGAAACGAGATTTCAGTCTTAAAGAAGGGGAGACGATATCTATTAATTTTGGGGGTAGAGGGCGGAGGCCAAGACAGGAGGAGGCGACTCCTAGGAATGAGAGGAGTGAGACGGACGCGCTGTTTTCGATCAAACCGCCGCCTGGGTCAGGATCGGGATTAGGCGGCGGCGGAGGAGGAGGAGGAGTGGGAGGAGGAGGAGGAGGGGGAGGGGGAGAGAGAGGGAAGGGGGGAACGATGCCGTTTCTGCCGCCACCGCCGAGCGCAAAAAGCGTGAAGGAGGAGAGGAGGAGGAGTAGGCAAACGTTTGAGCAGAAGCCAGAGGATTTGGGGTTTGACGATGGCGAGTTTGGGGAGTTTCAGTAGAAATAAAGACTGGATGTGAGAGGGAGCCGTCATAAATGGCTGGCTAGTTCATAAGGACTTTTTGACGGGCGTATGGGACGAGTCGGTCAGTTGCTCCGTGTAGGGCACGGGTTGACGGGATGACAGACACCATAAGAGGTTCAATTGTAAAGTTAGCAAGCATGGAGTGGAGTATAACACGGCACTGGATGCATTGTTGGTGTTCAGGTCTATCCTGTCTTGGATTGAAAGCGGACATGTATTCGTATGTACTCTGTCTGTCCAGGTGATATGCAAAATCTCATTCTCGTTCTTAAAAGCAATCCAAACCCTCCGGCGAATATGGCTTGCTGTACCGTGTCGTATCCTATTGTACAGTTCCAATCTTTCGCATAGTCATAGTTGAAGACCTGAAACGAATGCCGAATGCCTCCGTGCTGTGCTAGGTGGGTATAATCTCAATTCTTCCTGTCTCAAGACCAACTAAGAAATGCACAATATAGATAGAACGATCGAATGCTAAACCGAACCTGCGCCGAAGATGCAAATAGAACGGGGAACAACCGCCGCCTTGAAGACAGGAAAGCGAAGTGGTACTCGCGAGAGGTATTAGCTTTTGGATGCACCGCCAATGAGAAAGGTAGCGGATCTGTCGTGGGTATGAATGGGGGGTTATTCCGACCATCCTTTCGCGACATCGAAAAGTTTCTTGATATCCCTCACAAGGTCTTCTGGTCTGGACCCTCCCGGGCACTTGACAAACTCGCCATCGTCGACAATGCATCGCACCTTGCTATCCAGTCTGACGGTACAGCTCGTTGTGACATTTAGATCCGCGCTTCTTGTGACACTATCCCTAAGCATGCCCATCGCAAACGCGCCATCATCCTGGCTCACGCAGTAATTCAACTGGTCGAAATCAAGGCCGTGTTCCAGCGCGCAGTCTTGAACAAGCTCTTTCTTCGGGATATTGGGGTAGTCGCGCTCCATGCACATGGTGAACCCTAGGTATAATTTCGGATTGGGGTAGAGCTCGGCGGCGCAGAGCTCGAGGATGTTGCCGAGACATTCTGTCTGGCCGTGCTTGCATTGGACCCCGTCGTCTTCTTCGGTGGCTCTATGGCAGAGCGTCAGCAGAGGGATGAACGGCGCCTATATGGCTTGTAGAGTGTGGGTGGTGCCGCCTACTTTCCAATGAATGATAGCCTAAAGTCGACCTTATCAGAGACGTTCTGCATCGCCGGCAGGACGAGTTTTTGTAAGCAGTCTCGAGCGTCTGGGCATTTGGACATGATGTGCACTTCCATCGGCACCTTCGCCGTCGCTTCATGATTGTGATGGTGGGTTGGATCGGTGCATTGCCAGTTGACGCCTAGCCAGAACAGACCAAGGACAAAGACGAAGGCGGCCGCATGGAAGCGTCGAAATCTGTGCCGTCGGCGCATAGGAATTGGCCGTTCTGTTCGCGGGAGGAGGGGAGTTTTAACGTCCATGGCGAGCCGTGGGTCGGGGAGTATGGCGCCCTATATACAGACACAGAGGATGATGCGATGACTGATGGCGCGCAGCAATGCCCTTGTCGACCTTGGGATAATAATAAAGGAAGTGGTCGAGGTGGCGACTATTGGGTCAGGTCAGCTTCAATATGGTCGACTAAAAGCCGCCCCATAGCGAAACCCAGCGACCACTTCGGTCCACCAACGGCCTAGAATTGGACGCTCAAGCGCCCCCGTCCGCGGCTGCCAAGGCCGGGGACAGCCCCGAGTGCGGATGCGGCAGTGCGACCAGCGATCCCACTTCACGACGGAACATCAATCCTGTGCTTATTCTAACCACAGTTCGTCCCTCGCTGGTTCTGCGTCTCCAAACTCCGCCATCTAGCTGTCGGTATAGTTCCAACAAAGCCCCCAGTCCTTCCATTTTGATAGCCCCTTATCGTGAGTTGGTCAGCAAAGGCGGTGTATGGCGCTTGCACCCCTTCGGCCTTGATTTGTATCATTCTATCCGCGCGAATACGAGACCCACCCTCGACCTTCTGCATCTGTAGTAGATATGGGTGTCAAGGACAGCTCGTTAAAGAAGGAACTCTCGGCTCTCACTGACTGCATCAATGAAACCACGTTGTTGGACTTGGCCGCCAGGTTCTCGGACACGTACCGACATCTCGCAAAATGCTCCATTGAGCATTTCCTGGTCACGCCTGTGACAGCGCTTCCTTCCGGTAAAGAGAAGGGTAGGTTCCTGAGTATTGACGTTGGGGGTACCAATCTAAGAGTTGGGTTCATTGAGTTGCTGGGTGAGCTGGGGAATGGCACGTCTACCTCCCCCGCCGAGGCGCCGAAGCTACCGATGTCGAAAATTAGGAGATCGCATGATCGGGCGTGGCCGATCGAAGAGCATTTGAAGATGGATCAGGCTGAGGACCTTTTCGCTTGGATTGGGGATTGTATAGCAGAAGTGATATTGGACTATCTAAATGATCTTCCCGTGTCCGAATCTGTGGAGTCGCCACTTGGAGAGGAGCTACTTCTAGGGATAACTTTTAGTTTCCCCATGGCGTAAGCAACTACATAAGTCCTCTGTACACTTTTCTCTTATTGTCAGGCTAACGAAATTTATCCAGACAAACGTGCCTGTCAGAAGCAACATTGCTACCGATGGGCAAAGGCTTTGCCATTACTTCCGATCTGGATCTAAAGAAGATGCTGCTCGCTGGATACGCACGCCATCTGGTAGAGCCTGGCGCGAGTGGCGAGAACGGTTACGCTTCAAATAAGAAGAGAAGGATATCACGGCTGCCTAGAATACGCATTGCCGCCATCACCAACGACACCGTAGCCACATTTGCTTCTCTAGCTTATGCAGTCAAGGCTGCACCCAACAGTCGAGTAGCTATGGGACTCATCGTTGGGACAGGAACAAATGCTACAGTGCCCATGAAGATTGGAGATCTCCATCCATCGAAAATAAAAGAACTCGCCAATCCGGAAGGCGTGGAGATGATAGTGATCAACACAGAATGGACAATAAGGGGGACAGATAAACCTCTTATCGACCTAAATATCAAAACGAAATGGGACTTAGAACTGGACAGGAATAGCGAGGCCCCAGGATTCCAGCCATTCGAATACATGACCGCGGGTCGCTATCTGGGTGAAATCGTGCGGCTCACGTTTGTGGATTTAGTGTCGCAAGAGTTTGGACAGGATACAATTCCTCCATCCTTGATGGCAAAGAACGCTATTCCAACGAGATTCCTTTCCGAGATCGTGGCTAGAGCCGATGACGAGACCTTAACTGCACAACTCAAGAAGCGATATGCTTCGACTAACTCTACAACTACCTTCTGGACGCCTGCGAGAGTAGACTTGATAATCGAGATAGCTTACATTGTTCAGCAAAGATCCTCAGCACTAATTGCAGCCGCATGTGTTGGCTTATTGGACTGCGTACACGATATTCGAATCGATCGGCTGGGCCAGACCCCGGACGTAAAAAATGGGAACGGAGTCAACCACAAAGAAGTAGAGCCTGAAGAATTAGTGGTCGCATATGCTGGCGGAACGATATCTCAATACCCGGAGTGGCTAGGGACATGTCAGCGGTGGATCAACACTTTGGTGAAAAGGGCATCATCTGCAAATAGTTCAAAGCGGGTGGTGCTGAAGGAGGCACTGGATGGGGGCGTTATTGGAGCGGGTGTGCTAGCGGGAATGACTGATGGCATTGCATAGGAGTTTAGAAGGGGTTTTGATGGAAGGGAATTATAGAAGGATATTAATAAGGGCATCCTCGCTGGCCCTATGCCCTTTTCTTTTACTCTTCTCCTGCTTGATCCGGTAGAGAGCTATCCTAGTGGTGTAACTGCAGCTAGGTATTCTTTTGCAATCTTGTGATCGCACAGAATTTCATCTTCAGTCACTCGTTCCCAATCCTTTCACCCCTTGCTCGTGGTGAGTTAAGCGTCGCTAATCGCGTACCAACCGTAAGTGAAAGACAAACGCTCGAGCGCCAAGCTAAATATGAGGTCGAGACCATGAAAACTTCGCACAAGCTTCTGCGTTCCTTTCCCTTCCATCTAACAACGATCTGATACGCTCCACCGGGCCACCTGTCAGAAGTGATGATGGCTCAACTTCTCATCTGGCTCTGGTTCCTGCTCCTTGGCGGTGTCGTCGCTGCCCGAAAGAGCAATGTTCAGCTCTGCTACATCGCGGCAGGCGAAGTTGCACCAAGCAACCTTATTCCATGTTACACTGACTGGGGTGCACCACAAGCTTCTTGTTGTTTGAAGGGAGATATGTGTTTGGAGGGGAACTCTTGCTACGATCAGTTAACTGGTGTGACCTATCAGTACGGCTGCACGGATCTAGAATATAAAGACAAGAACTGCCCCCGCAAGTGCCATCTCGACACCGGTGTGTAGGCCTTCGCATCCTGCAGTAAAATATGTACTGATTTGAGGCAGAGAAGAGTAACTGGATTGGCCTTGTGTACTGTAATGGTACTAACGAGACTCCAAACAATACCTGGGTAAGGTACAAAAGCACCAGCAGTAGACGCACAAGGCTAAATCACAGAAATAGATATGCCACCATCCCGATAACTGCGGCGGCTGGAAGTATTGCCCTGGTCATACGCCATGGAGACCCGAGCTGGAGAAGATGGAACCGGTGGATTGTCGCAGTTTAAAGTATTCCAAGGAATACAAAGCAATCGATGCTGGATCTCCTCTACAGGATCTTTTGCTGTTACCAGACCACGATAGTGGCCTCGCGAGTTATCTGTCGGCACATCCTACGATTAGGCCTTCAAGGAACTCTGCTAGTTCTTCCCTAGCCAGTCTGACTGCGACGACCTCGACGACTGCTTCAGGTATTCCTCAGTCTTCGGAAACTCCAGACCCCAGTTCGACAGTGACATCGATTCGGCCCTCAACTACCCCAGAGCCACCTCGTTCAATGGGCTTACGTGTTGGGCTTCCAATCGGCCTTGTGGTTGGTATTTTGTTGTTGGTCGGCAGCTCTCTCTGCATTCGTTGTTACCGCAAAGAGCGGCGTCGGCCGCAGTTGAGCGAGATCCATCTTACCCACCAAAGTAAATTAAACGACCCGCCTGGTGGAATATTGCTAATTCGACCATTCAGGCGCCCTTGACGGCCATATTGAGCATCGGGGAATTGTATCTAAAGCCGAACTTGCCGGAGATAGAATGAACGCATATGAGATGCAGGGGTCTATGGTATCTGAATTGGCGGGTTCGACGGTACACAGTAGCTCGAATGTCTCCTCGCCGATCTCTCTGCACTCATCTGCCTATGACAGAGGCTCTTTCTATCCTCTATATGGGCAGCTGGATAGGGACAGCGCCGTGTTCGATGTCCAGCGTGATGAGGTCCATGAGCTCGCTGGATAGAGAAACACGACATTCTGGTCTCGTTACTTAACCCTACTCTTTTCCTGCTGGTCTTGTGATTTCACTTAACTAGCAAAACTTCTGACTTGTACTATTTTTCAGTAAGGCAACTTTGATGGAGGATGTCAAGCGTCAAGGGATGGCCCATGGAAATAATAGATTCAATGTAGCAACGTGAATTGATAGCATTGTTTTAGCATGTAGCAGATTGAAACGATAAGAAAGCTTGACAAGAGGAGCTCTTGTGCCCCTCCACGGACTCATAGCTATCAGCGGAGCTAACAGCTCCAGAGCTTCCCCGCAAAAGTATCGTACGACATGGCACCAGGTATCCCTTGCCCTTGTGAAGCCCTAGCAACGGATTACAGGAAGTTCTCACAGGTCCAGCCCCAGACGCACGAATCGCTCGTCCAATCAGAATCCCCCTTCATCCAATTCCTGCGGTGTCGGAAACCCTGAAACACTTGCCTTCCTTGCTTGCCCAACCTTGAAGTTCCACGTGCCCATCCCAGCGCCTTTTCCCCGACGCCATCGCTGCGTTCGGGCAAACTCCACAAATGTACCCCGCGGAAAGTGCAAGCCACAATAGGTGAGCAAAATGGGTGAGATGTCCCCGACCCCTTTCTCCTCGGCATTAAGGATCTCCAGACATTCAGTGCGAGCCGCGAACGCCTCCCTTGCTGCCAAGTAGATCGCTTGTGCTTCTGGCCCTGTGGTTGGAAGACAGACGTTGCTTCTTTGAGAAAGACGTCATGGCGGAAGGAAGCTTAGTGCTGTGGCGCTCTGGCCCTGGCAGGGGGCCTCGGAGCCTTTTCGGTGTGAGAGCTGCATGTTGGCGTGGAGAGGAGTTTGGGAGTGTTTGGAGTTGGCGTTCGACCGATGGTGGGTGAGGGGAGGTCCTGGTCCTGGTCCTGGTATCCGAGGGATAGACGTTCCTTGTGCTGGGCTAGTGGTCGCTGGTTGGGATGAGATCTGTCGACGTGAAGGGCAGGTGTGGCGCAGGCCTGTGCTCGGCGACGGTGCACAGGTCTATCTGATAAGACAAATTCTAGACATGCGATTCTGCACCGAATTTTCTTGATTTTGAGATCACGATATGCGACACAGATGTTGCCACCGCCTTGTTTGCCACCGCCTTGTGCAAGGTGAAGGAAATTTTCTTGGCCTCCAACGGCCGTGGACGAGAAGGACTTGTGCGCAAATTATCAGGTGAGCGGCTGATGCTCTTGCTAGGCATGCATGGCTGTTAGTAGTTACGTCAAGCCACTGGCCTGCCCCGCCTCTTCCAGAACTACTTCATATCACAGAATCTTTGTGCACACTGCTGCAAACCGCTGCGACGGACACGCTCCGCCAAGTCAGGCCATATCAGCGCACCAATTCCTGCTTGTCCTGCTGCGTTAGACCATATCATTTTGAGTTTCTGCCCTCCTTATCCGATGGTTTCCTATCACCGTCGTCAGACCGTCATCCGATGGCTCATTCACCAACACGGCGGTACTACCCCTCTGCTGGCCTACCAGGGCTGCAGTTCCAGCGGCATACGACCAATGGCGTGAAACTGATGCCCTGGTGGGCTCTCCGGAGCGCCGGACAGGAAGCGTAGGTTGCCAATTGCGGGCATGGGTGAGAGGATATGCCCGGTCAGAGCTTTGAAGCTTCGTGCCCGCTTTCATGACCCTGGGTGCCACATCGCACGCACGCGGGTTTCAAGGTGGGGTTACGGGCCCTGACCTTGCATGAGGACTCTAGTAATCGATATATAAGGCCTGGTCGTGCTGCCTGCTGGCTTGCTTTCTCTCCTGCATCATCGCTCTCAGCTCGTCAAAATATAAACCCCGCTTCCACTGCACTGCGGCTCTGACCTTCTCCTCAACCACAACATCAAGACCAATCCCTCTGACACCTCAGTTTCAGATTTCAAAACTCTCTCACAATGGCTGCTGAAATCCCAAAGATGCAATGGGCTCAGGTCATCGAGAAGACCGGCGGTCCAGTCGAGTACAAGCAGATTCCTGTCCAACAGCCCGGCCCGGATGAGGTCCTGGTCAACATCAAGTATTCCGGTGTTTGCCACACGGATCTCCACGCTGTCAATGGCGATTGGCCCCTGGTGAGCTTGCTACACCTCTTTTAAAGCCTGTACTCGAATTTGCTGACCTGCCAACCAGCCCACCAAGCTACCACTTGTTGGTGGACACGAGGGAGCTGGTGTTGTTGTTGCTCGGGGAGAGCTTGTGAAGGATGTTGAGGTGAGCTCGCTTTAATTCCCTTTAATTTAAGGAGCAGCAACTGATTTGCGATGCAAAGATTGGCGACCATGCCGGTGTGAAGTGGCTGAACGGCTCCTGCCTCGCCTGTGACTTCTGTCAGCAAGCCGACGAGCCTCTCTGCGGCAAGGCCCTCCTCTCCGGCTACACCGTTGACGGCTCCTTCCAGCAATACTGCATCGCCAAAGCGGCGCACGTCGCCCGCATACCCAAGGATGTACCCCTTGACGCCATTGCCCCCGTTCTCTGCGCCGGTATCACCGTCTATAAGGGCCTGAAGGAGTCTGGCGCCCGGCCAGGACAGACTGTCGCCATCGTCGGTGCTGGTGGTGGTCTTGGATCTTTGGCCCAGCAGTATGCCCGGGCTATGGGTCTCCGAGTCATTGCCATTGACACGGGCGACGAGAAGAAGAAGATGTGTCTCGAGCAGCTCGGTGCCGAATCCTTCGTTGACTTCATGAAGTCCTCCAACGTCGTCAAGGACGTTCAAGCCGCAACCCAAGACGGCCTTGGCCCACACGCTGTTATCCTCGTAGCTGTCAACGAGAAGCCTTTCCAGCAAGCCGCCGAATACGTCCGTCCCCGTGGAACCGTCATCTGCATTGGTCTGCCCGCCGGCGCCTATCTCAAGGCCCCTGTGTTCGACTCTGTCATCAAGATGATCACCATCAAGGGGTCTTATGTCGGCAACCGTAAGGACTCGGCTGAGGCTATTGAGTTCTACCGTCGTGGTGTCATCAAGTCGCCATTTAAGGTTGTCGGCTTGTCTGAGCTCCAGATGGTGTATGATAAGATGATTCGTGGTGAGATTGCTGGCCGGTACGTCTTGGACACATCGAAGTAAATGGATGATTTCTTTCCTTGCTATGGTGTTCGTGCGTACTTAGTAGTAGTCGTAAAGGAAATGAAATGCGGGAACTGTATTATAGACTTTCCTTGCGTGGTGTGGTGATCGGGGACGGTTAGTGAAATAGCTGGCTTTTAAGTGATGATGATGAAGTATGAGTTTCTATGATGGGTGGTGATTGGGTTGACGAAGCGGAGAAGGATGGTCCCCTTCGGGATGATGACTTCAAATGTAGATAATTGAGTCTCAATGGGAATTCGGTTTGAGACTGTCCAGTCCAAACTTTGCCTCGCATGTCACATGAGACGCATCATGTCCGTTACAGCGCTGTTCCTCTCCTTCTCCCCCCTCTGCATGGGACAGTGAGGAATGTGAGCATTTTGTGTATTAAGTGGTGATTCTCCCAAAACTATGCCAGACGACCACCGAAGATGTGGATCTGAAATGTGAGACGAATTTCGCTAAACTTAATACACACGTCTCTTTGCCTCAAGTATTGATTTACAGTGGTATAATAGCACGAAGACCTCCAACACGTTTCGCATGATTGCAGAATGGAATGGTGTGGCCCAAAACCCAATCCCTCTTATAGTCAGCACTCGCTAATGACAACTGATAACGCCAGCCTAATCTAATCCAATTCAACATAGTCCAATTCCATCAAAACCAATATCGCCTCTAGGTTTACCATATTTGCAATATATGTATAACACTCTTGAGAAACAGCCGCACTCCAACCACCTTTATCCCTCCCCTATCCCTTCCACACGTTCTTACGCCTATATTCTTAAACCAATGCCCTTAAACCAATGCTCACTCCCGTCTCACAAATGGGCGAATCAGCATCTCAAACCTCGGAATCGGCACCCCATTCAACACTACCCAACCCTCAGTACTCTGCTTCTCATCGAGCGATCTCCTCTTATCCCTCGCTTCCGCTCTCCGAGCATCGACTCGCCTTTTCGCAGCTTCGTCTATGGTTCTTTGTTCTGGAGTCCGTGTTGCTTCAGCGGCGGGACGGTTCTGCAGGAGGGTGGAGAGGGCGGATGGGTTGTCGGGGTTAGAGGAGGCTGAGGAGGAATTGATTGAGGGTGAGGAATCAGTTTGCGGGTTAGGATTCTGGCGGCGAAATAACGGATGTGTGCCGGTTGCGAGACGAGAGATTTCGTACGTGAACCAGAGGGTGCCGAAGAGGCTCCAGAAGGAGGGTCGCGGAAACGTGTTGTAGAAGATGCGCGTGGATGACATTGTCGCGGGTTTGGAAGGAGGATTGATCTCGCCCGTGTGAGAGATTATGAAGGTGGTAAGTGATAGAGAGGGGAGGGAGAGGGGGGTGGGTTGAGTGGTGATGTGGGTACTGGGGACCTTGGGCGTTTGTCGGGCGGTCGGGAGGACGGTGAATCATTTCACCGATGCGGCTCAACCATGGCCTGCTTCAATCGCGTTTCCCAAAAGTTCAGTCCAGCCACTCATTGCACCACCACACCCCACCACACCCCCTCCAGGGGTCTGTATCTTCCCATGACCATGGAAGACTTAGCCAATCTCGAAATCCTCTCCCTAGTCTCGAAAGTGACGTCCGAAATCTCAAACCATCTCGGAATCGCCGACAAAACGATCGCTGAGTTCGTCATCGATCAACATGGCAAAGCGAAGGATCTGGACGACTTCAAGGCGAAACTAGAAGCGATGGGTGGCATGTTTCCGCAGAGCTTGGTCGAGAGTATCGACCGCTTGGTGTTAACGCTGCATCCGAAGTATAAGAATAAGAGCAATGGAAAGGGGAGTGGTGACGTGAATGGAGGGGCTGGGGATGGGGATGGCGAGAGGGATCGTAAGACAAGGGTGTTCAGGGGATTGGCGATTCCAGATAAGGATGTGGAGTATGAGATTATCGGGAGGAAAGGCGCCAAGGACGAGGAGGTTGGAGACGCGTTCGATGATACCTTTGCCATGCTGGAGGGGCTGGCTGGGAAGGGCCCTGGGAAGAAGAAGACGAAAGCAAAGGAAGTGTTGTCTAGGAAGAGGAGTATAAGTCCCTACGGTGACGGCGAAAAGGATCGTAGCCGAAGCAAGCGACACAGATACCGGTCGAGGTCGAGGTCGAGATCGAGATCGCAGAGTCCGACGCGCTCGCGTAATGACGAGTTTCTCTTCGAGGATGAGTTTGGGCGTGTGAAAGCGGTTAAGAAGGACCGGAAGGATGAGAGGAAGAGTAGAAGGAGGAGGAGGGACAGCAATGAGGATGAATTTCGACGACCGCCCACACCTGAAATAGACGACGAGCCCGCGCTATACAAGGTTTATACTGGCAAAGTGACCGGGGTAAAGGATTTTGGTGTGTTTGTCAACCTACAAGGCATTAAGGGCAAGGTCGATGGCTTGGTGCATGTCACGCAAATGCAAGAGGGTGCTCGCGTCAACCACCCATCAGACTTAGTGTCCCGATGGCAAGAGGTCAAGGTCAAGGTCATCAAGGTGGAAGGCAGCCGAATATCGTTGTCTATGAAAGAGGTTGATCAATCAACAGGGCACGATCTTGCTCCACGGCGTCGAATAGGAACCGGAGCCAACTCCCAAGGACTTGGAGGAGCACCTGGTACCGACGATATAGTTCCTGTCATTGAGAGCGGCTTCTTTGCACGAAATAATGGGATGCGAAAGCGACTGACCTCGCCTGAAAGATGGGAAATCAAGCAGCTTATTGCATCCGGTGTTATCAACAAATCTGAGTACCCTGATATTGATGAGGAATATAATGCAGTTATCAACGGGGAAGGCGGCTTCGAAGAGGAGGAAGATGTGGACATTGAAGTGCGCGAAGAAGAACCTCCATTTCTACAGGGCCAGACTAAACAGTCTCTGGAACTTTCACCTATTCGGGTCGTCAAAGCTCCCGATGGATCACTCAATCGTGCTGCCATGGCTGGAGATACTCTTGCCAGGGAGCGGCGTGATTTAAGGCAACAGGAGGCGCAGGAGAAGGTCGCAAAAGAGGTCGCACAGGTTGATCTTAGCACTCAGTGGAATGATCCCATGGCCCAACAACGACAATTTGCAACTGATTTGCGAAATAAGCCTGTTAATCATCCTTCCGAAGCGATGCCAGAATGGAAGAAGATATCAACTGGAAAGGAAGCTTCTTTTGGCAAACGAACAAATCTGAGCATGAAAGAGCAGAGAGAGAGCCTACCCGTCTTCAAGTTCAGGAAACAGCTGCTGGAAGCTGTAACGCAGCATCAAATCCTCATTGTCGTTGGTGATACCGGCTCCGGGAAGACAACGCAAATGACGCAGTACCTTGCCGAGGCGGGATTTGCCAATGAGCTCATGATCGGCTGCACGCAACCCAGGCGTGTGGCTGCGATGAGTGTTGCAAAGCGTGTAGCTGAGGAAGTCGGGTGCAAACTTGGGCACGAAGTTGGCTATACCATTCGATTTGAAGACTGTACGAGTTCGGATACGAAAATTAAGTATATGACAGATGGTATCCTCCAGAGGGAGATCCTCTTAGATTCCATGTTGTCAAAATACAGCTGTATCATGCTCGACGAAGCTCACGAGCGCACGATAGCCACCGATGTACTTTTCGGCCTACTCAAGAAGACACTTAAAAGGAGACCGGACATGAAGCTCATCGTTACTAGTGCTACCCTAGACGCAGACAAGTTCTCGGAGTACTTCAACAAATGCCCCATCTTCTCGATTCCTGGACGAACCTACCCTGTCGAAGTTATGTTCAGCAGGGAGCCGGAGTCAGATTATCTGGATGCAGCACTCGTTACTGTAATGCAAATCCACTTGACAGAACCACCTGGTGATATTCTACTCTTCCTTACGGGTAAAGAGGAGATTGATTCCTCTTGCGAGATTCTGGAAGAGCGAATGAAGGCTCTAGGACCGAATGTACCCGAGCTCATGATCCTGCCTATTTATGGTGTGCTGCCATCGGAAGTCGCTACTCGCATCTTTGAGCCTGCCCCTGTTGGTACGAGAAAAGTTGTCATTGCTACAAATATTGCTGAGACGAGTTTGACAATCGATGGGATCTACTACGTCATCGATCCTGGATTCGTCAAGCAGAGTAGCTATGATGGCAAACTTGGTATGGACAGACTCCAAATTACTCCGATCAGTCAAGCTCAAGCTCGACAGCGAAGTGGACGAGCTGGCCGCACCGGGCCTGGGAAATGTTTTCGGCTGTATACAGAGAGCGCGTTCCAGAATGAGATGCTACCAACGACGATCCCGGAGATTCAGAGACAGAACCTGAGCAATACCATATTGATGCTTAAAGCTATGGGTATCAATGACCTGTTGCATTTCGACTTTATGGATCCTCCGCCCACGAATACGATGTTAACAGCTTTGGAAGAGTTGTACTGTCTCGCCGCATTGGATGACGAAGGGCTGTTGACTCGCCTGGGGAGACAGATGGCGGATTTCCCCATGGACCCCTCACTGTCAAAGTCCCTAATCAAATCTGTGGAACTCCAGTGCTCCGATGAAGTCCTCACAATCGTAGCCATGATTCCTGCTACGCAGAACATTTTCCACAGACCCCGAGACAAACAACAACAAGCCGACCAAAAGAAAGCCAAATTCAATGACCCCTCCGGTGACCACATCACGCTCCTCAACGTGTACAATGCTTGGCGACAGAGCGGGTTCAGCACCCCATGGTGCTTTGAAAACTACATCCAACCGAAGATCATGATGCGCGTTAAAGACGTCCGCAAACAGCTCCTCGATATACTCAAACGACATCGGCTAGACCTCGTCAGCTGCGGCCGCAACACAATCAAAGTGCGTCAAGCCCTCTGCTCGGGCTTCTTCCGCAACAGCGCGCGGAAAGATCCTGCAGAAGGCTATAAAACCCTCGTCGAAGGCACACCCGTCTTCTTACATCCTTCGTCTGCGTTATTTGGTAAGCCAGCTGAACATGTTCTCTACTACTCTCTCGTCGAAACTACGAGAGAGTATATGTATGTCTGTTCCCAGATCGAGCCAAAGTGGCTAGTCGAGGCAGCCCCCGCGTTCTTTAAGGTTGCGCCTACGGATCGACTAAGTAAGAGGAAGAAGGCGGAGAGGATTCAGCCAATGCATAATAAGTTTCAGGGTGAGGACGATTGGAGGTTGAGTACCCAGAAGAGGGCTGGGAGGGGCGGTGGGGGGACGTGGGGATAAGCACGAGCATCTCTTAGTCGGCTTTTAGGATCAGGATTAGGATTGGGATTAGGAGGTTTTCATTTGGCAGTCAGGGTGTGGATCGATGGGAGTGGAAGAGTTGGTGCGTTTACGCTAGTTCTCAACCTCTTATGTTTCTCTGCGTCTGGTGAACAAAGATTCTTGCGTATGATATCGATGGCTAGTTATCGGTCTGTTCTATTCCAGAGGCAGTCGATACAGTAACCTTCCCCCTGTAGTAGGAAAATGAATAAAAGCTATTAAGCATGCACAACTTGTAGAATATGTTTAGGTACACCTAGGAGAGGCCAGAACATGTGCTTTAAATAGGGACATCTTCGGACGGTTGTGATCGATGGAACTGGCTTTAATTATTTCAGGTCGACGCCCCTCCTGCAACAGTCTAAAGTCTATGATATTTGTATCCTTGAACTGCTATTCCATTTTAAGCATTTAGAGTTGTGCGGGTATGCTGAATACGGAACACCCTTCCTTTTTCCTATTCTCTTTCTTTCGCACAGCACTCAAAACATTTCTTCCCCACTGTCTCCTCATCTGCGCCTCAGCCTTGCTTTATATTGACGATGTAGTGCCTAGCTTGTTTAGTTCTGTGTCTCAATGCGGCAGAGGCGGCACAATGGTGTGGAAGATCAGGGTACCTCGAGAGGTTGTACGAGTTTCAAGAAGAAGTGGGGCTTGGTGATGCGTCCAGGTTTTGTAGGTTGTCCGATGAATGGAAAGGGGGCGGTGGTTCGAGATGGATTTACAGCCGTAAATCGTAGAGAGATTAAGTGGAGGGAACTTGGGTTGAGAGGGAGACACAGCTTAGTTTAGTAACGTCCCCCCCTGCGTGCCGGAAAACCCACCGTGCCGCAAAATATGAGGGGTACTTTGACTTTAATCAACTATAACTCTACACACACGTTAAGCTTCACTAAAATTATGTATAAATAATGTACTGTAGCTATTTTTAAAGAGATAGGGCGCCTCTTACTTATAAATTACATTTGCATTGTTGCCTTTGCGCCTAATTTGCAGAGAGCCTCTTTCTATAGCGTGACAGAGTTCCTTCTCTATAGCGCCACTATTAAGCTCTTACTACTCTATAATACTTATAAACAGTCTTATTAAGCCCTAGAACCTTGCTATAATGCTAAGAAGTTTCTATTAGCCTTGTGCCTGCTGTCGCGCACAAATTCATGCAAGGCCGCTACCCTAGTCGGTACTTCCGATCGAACTAGCCACCGATTTCGGCTAGTGTAAAACGACCCCGCACCTACATAATCATCGCTGTGTAATTTATTTGTGATAACTGTTAAGGCTGTGGCTGTGCAATGTCTTGGCGGTAAGGCTGACTTAGCCCTACAGCCTTGCGATCTCTACTCAACCTTAGCCATGCCTCTAGTTAACTAACTCAACGCTCTGAAAACACCTACAGAATTCGCCACCTTACAAGGTCCTGGCCGGAGCGGGTCGGCCGTCCTCCCTGCTTGTGGTGGCAACGTGCAGTGTCACATTTCCTAGATTACCGTTAGATGTCATTCCTAAGCAGGCTTACGCAGCTTAACCTGTTCTGCATCTACACTAGCTCCATTCTCTACAAATTAAAGCGGCATCAAAATGCTATCTCTGTTCCTAACGATCAGGCTATTTACCATTACCATTTCTTCCAAACTTCCAGCTGCTGATATGAGATATGAGAAATTTCGGAAGGCTCGGAAAAAACTCCATTTGACGAGCCAATACCTGCACATGTCCTCCGATCCCACCCGAACGCTTTGTACTCTTCCCTATCCAGGGGTCGCGCTGAAATCATTCGGGTTAATGCCGTTATATGTGTTCTGTACACCCCGTTAGCGTAGAGATCAGACCGCAAGAATTCGCTGACTTCATACGCTGGTACTGCTTCCAGTTATTCTAACCCCGTCTGTGGCCGTGCTGTGGGCATGGCCCATTACCACCCCTCGGTTGTTCTCAATCTTGTCTTGGTAGTTAACGTCGCCCATGAACACCGAGTGCGTCTGTCCGCTGTCAGCCAACTTCAGAACTATATGAAATCTGACCAACCTGGCTCTTAGCAGTAGAACCCCCATGCCGCTTGTCGAGATCCGATACCCATTGACTCAACCGTTGTGAAATGTTCTTGTATCCCTCCCTGTCTTCGTCTTCGAACTTGCACATGTCGACATGGTTAGCTTGGATCGACTGCGGATCGATGCCGGGAAGACAAGCTGACTCCTTAGGTACGATGACTCCAATCTTTTTCCCAGCCTTGTACATGACATACTGCTCGAAGAAACAAGCTACCTCAACGAATCGCCTTGCTTCTGACCGGTCTCGCGCTTTGAGAAATTTCTGAAAAGCATCGTTGATGCTCATGAGCTTTGCCGAGCGCTCTTCAAGATCTTTCACATCATCCTTGTGTGTCGTGCTTACCCAGTCCAGCATTCTGAGAGCCCTCCCGGCCCACTTCGCCTTCGAAGACCCTTCAAACGGTGTTCCAAGAAAGACAACCCCAATCGTTTTCTCCACGAGACTTGCGCCGGCCAGATCCGTCCCGTGGTGCCTTGACAGCGCGTTGGCGCAAACAAGGCCCCCTAGGCTATGACAGACGAAAATCACCGGGCGATCTGCCTAGAGATGGATGCGTTGTTAGCTTGGTGGCTGGGAAAGTACGAAAACGCTCGGCCGGTCCTTACGGTCTTGGTTTTCTCACGCAGACCAATCAGGCTCTGGAACAGCGCTGTCGAATGGTCGTCGATGGTCAACTGCTCCGGCATAAACTTTGGGCCATAGAACGGAAAGAAGTGGGCGAATTCAGCATTGTAACCAAAAGAAAGAATTCGAGCCGTTGGACAAGCTTGCGGTAGGAGGTCTTTCGGCCAAAAATGCTTCCTACCGTCCCCCTCCCAAGTCCAGGTCTTGGCTCTATCACCTCCAAGACCGTGTACAGTCAACTCTCGATGGCGCGATGCGCGATTAAACGATATTTCAATATAGCGATACATTTCTTAAACCTAAATTAATTTCCTACTAAAATATTCTATTTTGCAATACCTACTATATTGCAAGCTTTTAGCTAGATTATTGTTATATTAAGAGATAAAATGCTACATGTGGCAATTACTAACAAGCAGCAACAGGCTCTGCGTTAATAGTATTAACATTAGGGTCCTAGCTAGAGGCAGCTTAATGTAATTAAGTAGTTTAAGTAAGAGTATAACTATTGCATCTGTTAGTTAACAGTATTAGAGTCTTTTTTAGAGCAATATAGCTACCTTAACAGTAGCTCTGCTACTACCTGCACACGTTAATAACAGGCACAGTGGCCTATTCTTAAAGCTGTCCTCTTTAACTAGCAGCAGCACCTTAAGAGCTCTAGCAGCAACGTCTCTAGTAATATCCTTATTAAGAAAGCAAAGGCTATTTAGCTGCAGATACCTAATTACACTAACCTCTTTATACTAGAGTTTAGCTTAGGCTAGCTTACTAACTTTAAGCAACAGTATAATATTAAGCTTTATTAACACTAGGGCAAGGCTGCATTAGTACTAGCTAAGGCTAAAAAGGAGATAAAGGCTATTAGAACGCTGTGTAGAGAATACGCAGAGCAGAATATATTTAATATAAACAAGACAGGCCTATATTAGCAGTAGGCGCTGTTGTTAGGGCTTTTTACTAGAGCTTAACCTAGCAGGAAGAAGGATAAGAACTAAATATTAATTATATACTGCTGCAACTTTACTAGCAGTAAGCGCTTTACTTTTTAGGCTATTAAAAAAGTAGCTAAACTATATGCTCTGTAATCTATTAACTTTAAGGCTTTTAGCATCTAATAGTTGTTAAATCTTAAGGCGTAGATAACACATACTATTATAATAGATTAGCTATAGGCCTTTTATTAGTAGATAAAAGAGACTAGGTCTATCCTACTGCTAATAAATAACTACAGCGCTTATATTCTTAGCGTTAATCTTAAACCACCTTTACTAAATATCTGTATTTAATAGCTGCCTGCTAACTTAACTAGTGTCTACTAGCTACTTAATTAGGGCGTAATTAGTTAGTTTAAGCGCTTATATAAGAAGTAATAGATACGCTATATAGTTACTAGCTACAAGCGCAGCGTAGATCTAGCAACTTAAGTTAACCTCTACTATGCCTTACGCTAGGCCTCTTAAGCCTAGTATAATAACTTTTAGAGTAATATAATTTATTACTACTTCTGCTAAGCTAGGATCTAGCCTTTACAAGAACTAATCTACCTGCCTAATCTAGAGGAGCTCTACTAGCAGGTGCAGCACGCAGGCAGGATTTAGGACGCTATAAGCCTTAAAAACTTCCTAAATCCTATTAATAAAGATCACAAGCCTACTTAATCTAACTTTAATGTAGCAAATATAATTGCAACATATAGCTAGCAGCTAGTTAAAGATAAATTAGACAACAAAAGGCCTCCTATACAAATACCTACCCCTGCGCAGGCAGAGCAGGCTCTTAAATTACTACTCTTATATTAAGAGCATACAGATTTAACAACTCCCCAGCAGATTAGAGCGCTCCAGCAGCTATATACTAAAGTAAAGGCTTAAAAGTCTAAGCAGTTTGTCTAGGGCACTCTAGATAGTTAGATTATGTAACCCTCTTACTGCAATAATATTGCAATATAACAATATAATCCTTGTTCTAGAATTATATCGCGCCATCAAGAGTTGACTGTATGAAGACGATACTGCCTTGTTAACAGGGGTCTCGGGTAGATAAGGCGGTTCGCCATACTCTATTTTCGCTTCCGCGGGATTGAAAAGAGCGTCTCCCAATCCGTACTGTTGTGCCATGCTGAGAATGTAGCAAGGAAGTGGCCCAGGAAGGTAGGTAGCGTTGTGGGAACTCGTATAGAGTATTATCGTGCGTGTTTGCCCCGCCCCAATTATTTTATTTTGGGCACCGCGGCTTGGCATCTCGCTAGTCTGGTGGGCATGTCTGCGACCACTGGACAGATTGAGGGCCACGTGTCATGCGCTCGAGCTTCAGCTCGGCTCAGCCGCAGTCAGCCCGTGAGATAAGACCAAATGGACATCTTCTGCTGGCCTGGACACGGAGTCAACACACTTTCGAGCTTCCCGTATGCGTGATCTTCTTGGCAAGAGATGATCGACAACGCGTCGGTCGTGACGGGCACAACGGTGTTCGGTGCGATTTCCGATAACCGTGGGGTCGTGCTCAGTGACGCGTCGGGGCCCGTGCACCTAATCGGTAGGTCCTGCGACATCCACATCCGATTCCATCCTGATATCGACAGGCTCGCAAACAAACAATTATTATCCCCCAGGCAAGTCGCAAGATCAATCATCAGCCGCCCTGGGCCGGGCAGAGAAGGAAATAAAGTTTCTGAAGAGCCTCAAAACATCACCATACCAAGATCGAAAAGACCGAAACCCAGATCGGGTCCCAGGGACATGCGACTGGTTCGTATCACACAAGGTCTTTCGGGACTGGCAAGAGAGCAAGTCGTCAAGAATGCTTTGGGTGTCTGCAGACCCCGGATGCGGAAAGTCGGTGTTAGCCAAATACCTGGTTGATTCTGTTCTTCCCATCACAGAATCCAGAACGGTGTGCTACTTCTTCTTCAAGGACGACTTCGAGGATCAGAGAAATGTGGTTAGCGCTCTCTGCTGTATCCTACACCAGCTTTTCAAACAGAAACGCACCTTGCTCTCAGATACAATCCTCGATCAGTTCGACATCGAAGGAGAAACGTTCACTAGTTCATTTAGTGATCTTTGGCAAACCCTTATCAACGTCGCAAAAGATGAGAACGCCGGCGAAATCATCTGTCTTCTAGATGCATTCGATGAATGCGAAGATCAAGGAAGGTCTCAGCTCGCTCAAAAGTTATGCGGGCTATATGGCATTCCAAGAGACTTCAATTTGAAGTTTCTCCTCACAAGTCGGCCTTATGCGGAAATTCGCCGTAGCTTCCAACCTCTGAAAAGCCCAGGGTTACCGATGATTCATTTGAGTGGGGAGAGCGACGATGAGATAAAAAAGATTTCTCAAGAGATCGATGTTTACATCAGAGCCAGAGTCCAGGATATTGAGGCACGATTGATGCTTTCATATCACGAGAAAGAGCTCCTATTGAAAAAGCTTTCACGTATTTCTAACCGGACGTATTTGTGGGTATATCTTACGCTTGACCTGATCCAGAGCGACATCGATATCGACAAGGCTAGAATACACGAGGCCACTTCCCAGCTCCCCAAAACGGTTGACGAGGCATACAGCAGGATCCTCTCTAAGAGTTGCAATCCCGACAAAGCAAGGAAAATATTGCACATCATTGTGGCAGCAGCACGACCCCTTACCCTGAAAGAGATGACCTTAGCCTTAGCTCTTCAAGAAAGTCATCGGTACTATGGTGACCTAGAACTCGAAGCCGAAGACCGTTTCCATGAGAAAGTACGGGATATCTGCGGCCTCTTCGTAACGATCATCCACTCGCGGCTGTACCTGCTCCACCAGACCGTGAAGGAATTCTTGGTTCAGAATGATACAACGAATCCCCCCAAAGGTGTTCACATGGACCTCAAATGGAAACACTCACTACGGCCACAAGAATCTCATCGTATTCTTACCGAGATCTGCATCTGGTACCTGCTCCTCGAGGACTTTGAGAACAGGCCACTCGGCGAAGATGGATCATTATCCCAATACGCTCAGGATCATACCTTCCTTGACTACTCTGCCAAGAATTGGGCCGCTCACTTCCGCGAATTGCCGATTAAGGTACAAGGCGCAATGACACAATCAATCCTGAGAATCTGTGAGATGAGTTCACCGCGTTGCTTGACCTGGTTCAGAATCTATTGGACTAGTACAAACACGGATTTTCCCCGGGGTTTCTCCAACCTGATGATTGTATCGTATTTCGGACTGAGCACAGCAGTGAAGCATTTGCTTAAGATGGATGGCATCGACTTGAATACTCAGGACGATACCTACCGGCGGTCGGCTCTATCTTGGGCTGCAGGAAGGGGCTTTGATGCCGTTGTCAAGCTATTGATCACTGACTCAAATATCGGTCGGCGAGCCTTCAGGCTACTGTTTGGGAAGAAAGCTGAAATCGACTCAGTAGATAGATACGGTCGGACGCCATTGTCATATGCCGTTTGGATTGGGAACGTGGCCGTCGTCAAGCTGCTAATTAAAGCGGGAGCACGAGCGGACTTAAAGGATGAAATCGGAGGGACGCCATTATCGTATGCGGTTTGCAACGGATACAAGGAGGTGATTGAGCTACTGCTCAAGGGAGATACCCAGGCTGATTTAGAGGATATTAGTAATGAGCTAATGTTCTCCGCTGCCAAGAAGGGGCATGAGGATGTGGTCAGGCTGCTTCTCGACACGGGCAAGACTAGTTTGGACGCAAGAGATAATGATGGTCAGACGCCACTCTTGTGGGCCGCTAGGAACGGGCACGGGGCCATCGTCAAGCTTCTGCTTGCTACGGGAGAAGTCGATGTCAACGCCAAGGACAAGCGGCGTTGGACTCCGCTATCTTGGGCGACGGAGGGAAAGCACAGGGATGTGGTCGAGCTGCTAGTAAAAGCTGGAGCGAACGTTAACCATGAGTATATTGTTCCTGTAAGTGAACCCGCCCCGAGCTTGGCACATGCCTCTATGGAGTTGACAGCTAACCCTGGCGTCTCTGGTTGTTATAGG